GAGGATCTCACTGGGGTTACAAGGGCGAACAGAGGGAAGGACCCCACGGGGGTTACAAGGGTGAATATTAATGGATGTGCATAGTCTCATACCACCTTCCTACTGTAAGGACATCTGCAAACACATTTCATATCAGCAAGACTCACAACTAGAAAGTCTATCAGGGCTATAACAGACTCTAATGACCCAGAAACCGAAAGCTGGAAAATGACCCTTTCCAAGTTATACCATCATGAAACATACTGCCTGGGTACTCATGGTGCATCTTCTCTGGTATTGGCCGGGAGTTTCCAGGCAGAGCTGGTAAGAAGAGAAGGCAACGATAAAGGCTGTTCACAAGCATTCTGTTTGTCGTGGGGGCTCTACAGTCACGAGAGAGTCAATAGTAACTTCCCTCCACAGCATTTATAAAGCATCTCTGCACGTGCAAGGGCAAGTGTTTTGCTAGCCACTGGGCTGTCTCTGTGGCACACGGTTGGTTCTGAAGATGGTGGCGGGGAAGGCTGCTTGTGGAGGAGCGAAAGGTCAGCAGAGGTTTAAATGAGCTTGTCTTGCATCCAGCTGGGCCAGCAGGAGGTCATTAGGAAGATCCAAGGCTCACTTTAGGCTTGACAGAGTCTCTCCCCATGATACAAGGAGACTGTTTTGCTCATTGCTCTTCTTTCAGTATATAAAAAGAACCCCGGGGACAAGAATGACACCGAAGTTTATCTTACTACCAAAGTTTTGCTTGAGGAGGGCACAACCAGCAATTACTCAGGAGGGGGATTTGCTTTGTTTGTTTGCTTTTGATGGAAAGTAATAGAGATAAGTACAAAAGGCCTATTGATCTGCTGGTTCTACTGTGAAACCAAACAGAGGAGCAGCGGGGAAACATCTCTTAGCCTTTAAAAGCCAGAGGACCCGCACAACTTCACTCTATCAGGAGTTTTGGAAGCAGAGAATTGAAATCGGATTGGGCACTGTGTTGGGAATGAAGCAGTCATCTATTAAGAGGCTCTCCTCTGAGGATTAGCACACTGTTTGACAGCTAATTACATTAGGGCACAGATACTAATAGTTCCCTTGAATTGGTGCTAAGTGGCTCGTTTCTTGGAGGTATCGCCTGGTATTTATTGAAAAGCTCCCTCTATAAAAGTTCTCTATAAGTTTCCAAACATAGAGAATGATGGAAAAAAAATGGATGCTGCTTTGGTGAGAAGGTGAAAACAGGAGGCAGGTAGCATGTTTTCGCATCCTCACCTCTGCTGTTAATGTATGCAGTGGCTCATCAGAGCAGCTCATGTTAATTTATTCCTGCACACCTGTATAGGGCTGGAAGTCAGGTAATAAGACGAGCAGAAACTATACATCTCTGCTGTTTAGCTATGGCTACCCAGAGGCCTATACGAGAACAAATTTAGTTCTGGAGACATCAGCAGGTTTTAATAAACCAAATACAGATGTCTTACTCCATACAAATCAAGAAGTTTACATGTTTAAATCTGCACTGATTTAACTAGCAATCAAAGAGAAGGCTCACACTCGGCACCAATGGTTGCCTCATATTTATTTATAAATCACCCTAGGCAGATATTATTTTGTTTTAAAATTTATTCATCTGGCTGAAACAACCTCCACACACCTTAAAGATCAGGAAGAGGCTCTTGCCTTCCTGATAAAATCTATGGCAAACTTCGTCAATTGCTGTGAGATGGTTACAAATGAAGAGGGCAAAGTTCACAAGGATGCTAACTTCTTTCTGTACAACACACCATCTAGTTTCTGAAGGTCTTCATTTTTAAATTTCCAATCACCAAAGCAAATACAAATAAAACAGCACACTAGGAAATGACGAGGAAGGTTAGGAAAAGGACAGATATGGATTCAGCAGTTTGTTTGCTTCCTACTCCCCTCGAATTAAAAAAAAAAAACAATCAATGTATGGGTTTCTCTTCTGCATAGGTTAGTGGCCAGTGAACCCTCCTAAATATGAAGTGGTGTGGGAGGTCCTTTGTCTCTGTGTTGCTTTTGTTAGTTAATGAATTAAAGAAACTACTTTGGCCTGTTGATAGGGCAGAACTTAGGTAGGTGGAGAACACAGAACTGAATGCTGGGAGAAAGAAAGGTAAGAGGGATGCCACAGAGCCGCTGGAGACAGATGCTGGGAATTTTACCCAATAAGCCACAGCCTTGTGGCGATACACAGATTAATAGAAATGGGTTAAACTAATATGTAAGACTTAGCCAATAAGAAGCTAGGGCTAATGGGCCAAGCAGTGTTTTCATTAATACAGTTCCTGTGTGGTTATTTCGGTTCTGGGTGGCGGGGACGAACAAGTGGCTCACTCGGTGCAACAATGAAGTCAGAGGATGAGAAAGTAGCACAGGTCAACTAAGGTCTGTGGAGTGTGACTAGCGTGCTTTTATGAATACTGCAGCTCCAAGCCACATGGTTAGAACTTCTTCCCAGGGAGTGTTTCATATGTATAGTTCCACATGTTCCCTATCTCATCCTACTAACATGCTCATCCGAGGACTGCAATGCACCCCCTACATGCATACTCATCGCAGAAGCTGCTTCCAGCTCCTATAAGATATTGCAGTTTGGAGGACAAGGCAGCTGCACTGGAAAACAGGAGAAAGGAGGAAACGCAGGGTGTTCTAGGAGCCCTGAAAACTTCAGCTACCATGGGGATATTTTCCACACTGGAACTTCCTCTCGACTGCTTCATTTGTACAAGGAAGACACTGCGGAGTCAAGGATGGATGAAGTCAGGCCTCCTCGTGTAGAAAGAAATGGTTTGGAGAGAGAAGGTCTAAAGACAAAGGAGAGTGTCTTGGGAAGGTCTGTTGGCTAAAGAGAAAGGTAAGAAAGTTCGTCTCTGTTTTAGTTCATCGTTTGATTAAAAAAGGAACACAGGCTTTCTGAGTTTGTGTAGTAGTAAAGAGAAGACTCGAAACAGATCACAGATGAGACTTCAGAGTCCCTGTGCACAAGGAGGCACAGCCACTGGCTGACAGTCACTGATGAAATGATTCTGTCGGAGAGGGAAATCTAACTATGTTCCCCGTCCACTATGCAGAGATTCAGGAAGAGGCTGGCAATTCAATGGTATCACTGTGTCTTGGTATTCTGGTGCCCGTTACTCACACATCCCTGTGTCAATTCAAGTCATCATCTCCTTTGGCAAAAAAATAAAGGCCCGACTTTTTATTTTGTTTTATTATTTTTTTTAAGGATTTAGCTTGGGATAAAAAAAATCTGTGTGTTTTTTAGAAAGCCAAATTTCAAGAATAAAAAAAATCCACTTTATCTTTTTTTCAATTTTTATTTTGTCATTTGTCACAGGACAAACTCTAAAATGAAAAAGACTAGATATGGTAGACTATTTCACCCTCAACAATGTACCCACTGTCTTTTGAAACAGCCTGTCTGTGCTCCTCCTGTACTTGGAAGATCACTGGTCTTACTTCTGTGTGGCGGGCACTGGCGAATCTCCCAAGTCCTGACAATGAAAATGGTAACTAAAATATCCCTCCTCCGTCATCGAGTACTTCCCCGGAGACAAACAGTTCCGTCCAGCAGCACCTCCCTCTGCGTCTGGACACAGACACAGCAGCTCTTAGTGTGTTCTAGCCCTCAGTACTGACTGTGCATTCGTGAAAGCTCCAGGCTCGGGTTCTGCCCCTTTGCTATTTATTCCAGCGTTATGAACTGTGATGTTTTCAGCAAACGAAAATGTGAAAGGAATTCATGCAAATAAGCTTAAAATGTTGGCTTGTCTTCAAATACTCCATTTTCATAAATATTTCATGCAAGTTTTCACAAGTCTTTTATATTTGTTAAAAAATTTCAATGAAATTTTTTTTCAAGGCATTAACCTCATCATCACTAATATACTGTTTGTAATCCGAAAGAATATTATTCCAAAAAAGGGATAAGGGTGGAACTGCATTTATTAATCAGAGTGTAAGCATCTTATCTGCTATTTTCTGGGACTGTCAATAAGAATTTAGAACCGAATATAATGGTAACACAAGAATCCTTTTTTTTTTTTTTTTTTTAAATAGAGCCAAGATAGTGGAGAAAAACATCATTAAAAGAATAGGACTTGGCTCCTTCCGTGTCAGTAAAAAGAAAGACAATATGTATATCCATTAAAAAGGGGTGGATCTTACATATGTGAACATGCTGCAGAGACAGGTCACTGCTTTGTGGTGATGCTTTTTCTTTTTAAATCAAGACAGGGTATATGTGCACAGCTCAGACTGGAGTCAGCCTGGCTATATCCCCGCTTTCCCCAGTATCCTGCCACAGCATCCCCAGTGGCCCCTCACCACCTTCTGCTTTGTCAAAGACCTCTATCCAACTAATATACGCCACAGTAAGGTGGAAGATCTTTGGAAACTTCATTCATTGTTTTCTACATATATTTTAAACTGTGAAAGAAAATTTTGTCTGGAAATATTTAAAAGGTTAGTGTGGAACCAAAACACATATCCCTTGAAGGAGGAAGGATGGTGACTTGAGCTGGGCTGGGGTACTGTGAAGAAAACAAACTTGCTCCAAGGCTCATCCTCCATAGGTGATGAGATCATCTTGTTGTCCCACCACTGAATGGCCACCCTGACATCCTATTCATATTGTAAGAGGATTGATAAAGAATGTGGTAGGTTTAGGGTCAGCTGCTTCTGCTTACGTCCCATGGTTTCAGAACTATAGACACAAAACTAGAGAGCTAATGCCATCTGAGGGCTGTCCTCAGAGAAGTCTAACTGATCTAAAGCATTGACTTAGGCATGTCCCCCTTTTGTGGTGAAGTTCCATGGCAGATTACATTTTAGGGATGTCATCAAAGACACCATGGAGTTGAAATAAAGAAACCCACACAACCATGCTCTCTCCCCATATCAACAATTACTTTGGCCTTATTGTCTTCTGATAGCTTCATGATTCTTAAGGAACTGAAGGATATACTAAATACTCATGTAAGGAATGATAATATTTCTGGTTATACCTACGGAGATGCAGGCTGTCTCGATGTCCTGGACCTACGGTTCTTTCCATCCATAAATTTCTGTTTCTATATTGGATAAATATGTGTGTATGAAGATAATATATTGGTTTAATGAAAAGCCACAAGGCACAGCAGAAGTATATATATTTATGATATATATATATATGTCATATGTATATGATAGAAGCTGTGGCTTCTAAGGAAAGGTTCATGGGGAGGCAAGGAATTGTGTACTGTTAACTTATTCACACCCAGATGCATGGAAACATACATGTACACACACATATACACATACACAGAGGAAAATGGCATGCATTACTAGGTAAGATGACATAAGATTCTGCATGCTTCATCACAACAAGCACTGACTGCATAAATGCTTCATGAACATGGCAGCTTAGTGATCATGTGGTCAATACGGGCAATCCTTACAGTGCATCAAAACATCTAACTTTTAAGTCCACTATGACTGACTCTGTACCCCCACCCTCAGCAGGAGCAGCCAATGGGGATTTACTGACCTGTCTCTGCTTCGTCGAGAGGGGAAGGCAGCATTGCAGCCAGCCACTGTGCAGACGTGCATCTCTTTTAAGTGAACGTTCCTGTAGTGAAGCTTCACACTGTAGGAGCTTTTGAAGCTCTTCTTGCACACATAACAGATTTTGGGGTCTGGACTAGAACACAGGTCACCTTCCGGGGAGAATTTTTGAGGGCTTCCATAATTCAGAGACGATGCAAAACTTTCATGCAAGGCAGCCATGCTGGCCCCCCCGCCATTGTACAGTCCATACTGGCTCATGTAAAACATGTCGTAAGTGGGGTCTGTGAATTCTTCCTTTACCTTGATGACGTCCTGGTGAGACGGCTCGCTGTGGTTCTCATCAGGCCTCTCGCTGTTCATCAGGACTTTTTCGCTCACCTCACTGTGAATGTGCTCATCCCCTTCCATGGATTCCTCACCAAGTTTAGGCTCTGAGGACTCAGATTCATTCTCATAGTCCCGCTCGGGCTCCTGGTCCTCAGATGTCATACTGTCAGCCCTTCTTATTTCAGTTCTTGAAATGCACCGGGTCCTACTATGCTTAGAGAAGTCCTTCACAGACATGCCTGGGCTCATCTCCTCTTGGGAATGACAATGATTGTCATGGCTCATGTCATTGACCACAGTTCCACCATCATTAGGGTCATCATCTTCGTCATCGAACTCGTCAGCTGTATCAATGATCTCCTTCTCAATTTTTACAGGCATGCTTGACTTCCTAGGCTTTTTCTTAGGTGCCAGGTCAGCACTGGGCTCGTGAGTGCCCATCATCACTGCTGGCACTATTGGCTCAGAGGGTGGAGGAGGGTGCTGCTCTATGGGACCACTGGTTGGGATGATGGGACTGGTTGGGAGGGAGGTTGGAGGACTCACCATTTCCCCTGGAGTAAGTAAACTTCTATAAAAAGGAGGAACTGGTTGTACAGTCTTTAGCCCAGAAAATACCAACTGGCTAGGGAGAGGGTTCTGTAAGACGGGGTCGAGTGGAGGAGTGGTAAAACCCATTGGGGGCCGGCCAGGGCTCGTGAGTGTGAGATTAGATTTTGTACTAGCTATGACTGGAGTGGCAGCCCCTGACGTAGCCCGAATCAAATCTTTGTCTCGGTTATTCCTTAGCATAGGCATGTGAAGACGGGGGTTGGGATTTGCGCTGTGGCGATTCCGGCTTCGGAGGGAACTAAAGACCATGTTGCAACCTTCAATGGTACATCGATGTTTAATCTTCAGGTGGACAGCATTATAGTGAATTTTGAGCGTACCTTTGTCATAGAAGGTCTTCCCACATGCATTACAGAAAACTCTTCCTTTCCTCGAGGCTGACCCCATTCTTCTCATACGATGAATCCGGAAGGAGCTTTTTGGGTGTTCAGTTTTGCTTAGGTCACTAACTGGGGCAGAATTCTGAATAGGGGAGACACAAGCTGGCTCGGTTTTAGGCTCCACGTTAGTGATGCTCGTCAGGGCATTTCTGTTGGGTGTCTGGTCACTCTTATAAGGTGTGGGGGATACCTCCGACTCACTGCTCTCATTGTACTCGTTCTGAGTTGAAATGCTGGGTTCCCGCAACCTCAGTCCAGGCTGCTCTAACAGCAGCCCATTGGGAGGCAACCCTAACAGTGGGGCTGAGACGGGGTTTATATACTGGAAGGGAAGCAGAAACGCAAGGCTGTTTGGTATGTTCTCAAAATGATGGATGCTGGAAGGGTTGCTGTTCTCTAAGTGAGCAAGGAGGCTGGGGCTCCTGGTGCGGTTATTGCTTTCGATGAAAGTTCGTATGTCCGAGTCTGTCTTTGAAGATGGCACGGCCACAGCTTGCCCTTCTTTCTCTTGAATTGCCATCAGCTCCACAATGGATTTGGTTTCTCCAAACCGCAGAAACTGCTGAAGGGTGATGATTTCCTCTTCTCGAGACATGATGGCCCAGCGGTCCAGAACTTTGCCAGCAGCGTCCTACAGGCCACATCAAAGAAACAACAAAGACAAATAAAAAAAACTGATTGATTGTGCATAATTATTTAATGCAACTGAAGGTGTTCTGGCAGCTTCTGCAACGGAGAGCAAGAAGAGAAAACGGCATGCGAGCAGTGTTAATAAAAGTTAACACACAAAGCAAACTTTCTGCCACGCCAATGCAGCAATTACAGTCACAGCTATAGAAACAGATTGGGTTTAATAATGTCAAGGCAAACAAAATGTGGACCACTGGAGCTCTGTGATCTAAAATGCCTTCAGTACTGCCATTTTAACACCAATGATCTATATACTATGCAACTCTTTAGCATATATTAGTGTAAGATGTAAACTCTTGCTGTGCAACCTAGTATGAATGCAAAAAAAAATTGGACCCTAATCTTTGTTAAATAATGACACCATAGGAAAGAATTAAGTGCAGTTCATGAAACGTCCTTCTCAAGTCAAGCAGACATGATGCTAGACTCAGTGGTGGAAATTCCTTCAAATGGGAGTTATGTGGCTTTTTGAATAGTTAAAAAGAAATAGAAATGAGTAAAAGAGCATTTCCCCCTCAGAAGTCCATCACTCCACTGCATACTGTCTTTTTAAAAGGCTGTATTTTTATGCTGGCTAAGAATAGGCAATTTCATGAGGTGGAGTAAAGGAAACATCACTTGTGAAAGGTACCTTTCCTCTTCTTGAAAAACTGGCTGTAACCCAGCCATTTAAAGTTTGACGCACATTTAAAGTATATGACATCTTAGGATTTTTTTGAAAGGACAGGAATAGATACCTGAAAAGTAAGCACGTGAGGATTTTAGATGGAATACACGTGAAGCATTGTCTCTCGGCATCCTCCTCTGAGAGCAAAGGGAGTCCACAGAGACGACACATCAGCCATCATCAGACTGCGTGTTGTGAAATATACATTAAAAAGCATTTCACACTTTCATTTTTGCTAGTAACTATGAGATTGCCTGGAGGTAGGACTTAAGAATCCTGCAACGTAATGTCAGGCAACCCATTATAGCATGGGTTGAGAGAAATCTATTCAAACAGCTAAACAATGACTGTGTAAATTTTTTTTTAAGGTATCATTTCTTAGAACCCCCAGGATCAGGGATCGTTGTAGCCCTCTGTGTATGACACTTGCTCCAACTCTGACCATCAACTTAAGAACGTACAAAATCTAGAAAACCAAAATGGTGCTGGGGGAGTTGGGCAAGAGGTTCAGCTACAGGAAACTGGTTAGCATGTGTGCAGCCTTGGGTTCAAAACCAAATCAAACTTAAAAATGACTTACTTACTGGGTACAAAGACAAAAATCCTAACTTTACACTGGAGCAATCTAATATGACACCATAGGAAAGAATTAAGTGCAGTTCATGAAACGTCCTTCTCAAGTCAAGCAGACATGCTGCTGCATTGAGAGAGGGATCAGAGTTAAGCCCAGTGGAAGGAGGCATAGGCCATCTTGTACTCTTGATGACCTTGGATGATTGGGAAGGGCAGTCTTAAAAACATTTCCCTTCCACGCAATCATGAGAAAGGATCGGGAAAACCAAAGCTGAGGGGCAAGTCTACAACATACTGGATAAAACTCTTCACAGTACAACAGCTAGAGGGCAGGTGGCGAAGACATGATTGTATGGTGCTAGGGATATTAGATCAGAAAAGACATATTAGTGGGAAAAGTAGCAGAACGTGTAGAAAGACTCTAGATTTGATAACAGTACTATATCAATCTTGATTCCTTTGTTTCAACAACTGTGCTATGATTACACAAGATGTTACTCTAGGGAAGAGGGTGAGGATAAAGGAATCTTCACTGTTTTTGCAATGGAAAAGTGCCTGAGGTACCTCAGCCTTGGGGTAGGTATGAACTTCCCTCTAGACCACTCATGTTCTTAACCATCACAGCTAGTGTGAGTGAGGACACAGCACTTGATCTGAATTATGTTTTAAAAGTCGCTTGGATAGAGTATACCATTCCTCAAATCAGTTTATAGAGTCAGCAAGCGTGGCTGTGCATTCCTACGAAAGCTACAAAATTCTTGCCCTCTCTCCATCATATAGAAACAATTGGCTTTAAGACGAAATGTTCTCAGACTCCCTGTTTAAAGTAAGCATAGTTTGGCATGGGTAGCTAGGAACTTCAGAAGATTCTGGAGTGCTGAAATAGCTACCAGACAACGGTCACTCGTAACTACTGATCTTAGAGCCTTGGTTTTGGAAAGTGGGGAACAGAAGAAAATGTTGGAGCTGTAGGAACGTAAAAAAGCAAATTGTGATTTTATATGCACTATTTCATTGACAGCAACGTCCCCGCTCCATGCCACCATGATAGAATCCAGAGTATGGGGAACGCTAAACAAATAAGAAATCAGAAGCGACATGTAAGACAACTTGTGAAGGTTCCAAGAAGCCCTCTTCAAGTCTAAGGCTGTGATGCTTCAGATCTCTGGCTGCCCCCCACAGGACTCCCTGACGCTACTCTGTGATCCACCACAGTAAGGACACTGATTAGAACGGTTTCTAGAACAATGTGCTGCCCTCTTACTATCAGCCAGCTCTTGGGATTGCTCATTTCTGTTAAGCTGAACCCCAGTCTGAGCAGCAAGTATAGTCGTGCTTTCTCCAGGCTCTGCCCAGGCATCCCGAACATAAAACTATAGGTCAACTCACACGCACCTTAAGATCAATGCCTATGGAGTTCAACGAGCCACAGAAACCACAGCAACCAATAAGAGTCATCATGAAACACACCATCATCTCATTCCCCCATCTTCCCATCTCCCTCTTTCCATGGTACACAGCATCCTATGTGTTTTTTTTTTCTCCTGGCTGCCACAACACCTGCTGTTTCTTCTAAAACCACCACCTGTTAGAAGTTTGTTAGTATTGAGTAGCTATCGCTGAGAAATTAGAGGGTATGACATTAGAGCTATGTAATTCAGGTTAAAAAATTCCAAGTAAGGAAGACTCAGATCTTTGCTATTGAATCTCTCTCTCTCTCTCTCTCTCTCTCTCTCTCTCTCTCTCTCTCTCTCTCACACACACACACACACACACAATGTTTTATCTGTTAAGTTAAATGCAAGGTATAAAGACATCATACCAACAAGTCTGCTAATGAATACACTGAAGAACAGCATGAATTTCTGGAGTCCAATATCAGGGCACCCTCTGGATCCTACCAATATGAAGGCTCAGGAATCCTTTCCCAAGAGGTTTTCATTCATTTGATCATATTAGCCAGTAACTATCATATTTGTAAATGAAAAAAAAAACCCTCAAAAGAGAGAGGAAAAAAAGGAATAAGGAGTCCACAAGCTCCTTGCTAAGAATGGCTTAGTTTGAATGTATTTATGGGATAAGCTGGTTCAAGGGAACAAGAAACCATCAGAGGTATGAACAAAGCATCTACTGAAGATCCCTGTGACAGAAGTCCCCACTGTTTAGTTCAGTGATGCTCACAAACTGACTGAAGCTAGAATGCGTTATAATCATTTAGAACAATCAAAAGCAGAACAAAACAACAGCAAAGACACACCAACAAATAAGCACCAAGTAATTTACCGCAGCCATGAACCATTTGGAAACTTTTAGGGCAATCTGATTCTACCACAATAACTACAGGCAAAGAAATTCTTAGTAATTCATTTTTTATTATATTAAATGTTGATTAATGATTGATAAGGGAAACAAATTCAGGCTACCGTAGTTTTTGAGAAGTAAAGGTGATCAAATAAACATCATCAAGTCAACCAATTGTTAGATATTACCATGGAATGAGTACTAGCAAAGCAAAATTCCAGTTTTGTAGGCATATGAGGATCATGACCTCACTGACAAACCTATAACAACAGGACATATATGTATAATATACATATAATATGTACATATTAAGGTCTAATATAAAGCTGGACTCCTGCTCTCTAGTTGATGACTCAATTCCTTTAGGCGTTTCCATTTATAACCAGAGTTCACTGACCTTCAACCCATTATTTTGGGAAATGATATCTGCAAAATGACAATAATATGATTTGCACTGTTCAGTTAAATATAAGGTATTATTGTAACTATGAGTTTCCTGTAAATAACTGGATCTACTATTAATTTTTAAAGTTGAGAAACAACAAGTAGTTGAGAATTAAAAATCTGTTCTATCAGATTCAGAAAAAGTCTAAAACATATAAAACACTAACATCTAACCATATTATATGAAAAGACATCCTATTATTTCACCAGAATTGTCGTATTTCTTACAGAAATCTGTCTGTTCTTAAGTAACTCGGGAGAGTGTTTGTTTAGATGGTTGGTTTTTTATGATGAGGATTAAAACCAGGGCATCGAGTAAACTAAGCAAGTGCCCTACACCTGAAATACACGCCCGGCCTGGAAGCCTGATTTTTAAACACTGTTTGTTTTTAGCTGTCACAGTTTCAATGGTTCACACTGACCCTGTCCAGAAGGCCTCTCACAAGACTTGTGGCTTCAAGATAGCATAGGAGGTTGGCTGGTTAATCTCATCTGGGGAGAGGGACAATAGAGAAGAAAAGGCTGTAATGAGACAGAAGAGAGACCAGCGAAGTGGTGTTGGGGTGGACTACCAAGTGATCTCAAGATCAGAGTAAGAATGAGCTCACGTATGTTCTCAGCAGGCCACTAACCATGTCATAGCACAGAGGAGAGGGAACTGCCCCTTATGTTGTTCATGGAAAACTATAAACAATACCAAATACAGCACACACTGAAAGCGTGTAAGAGGAAAAGCAATACCGAGGAAGAAATCAGGAAAAGATCAAATTCACTGTGGCCTTAAAAAAAAAAAAAAAATCCCAGTAGTCCTCATTGTCTGCTATGTTCAGCGAGTCCAGTTTTATCCCAGGCTTTTTCAGACCCAGGCCAGCTGGCCTTGGTGAGTTCCCGATAGAACATCCCCATTGTCTCAGTGTGTGGGTGCACCCCTCGCGGTCCTGAGTTCCTTGCTCGTG